TGCAAAATAACAGTTAGTTATTTATAGTGAGAGACGTTTAGAACCAAGAACCAGATCATTCGCCCACCATACAAAGCACCGTTACTAAAAACACTTTGCTCAGATACAGAAATTATTAGATCACAAGCAGCTTTTTCCCCTCCCCCCAAAAAAACCCTTAGCTTAAAACCACGCAGTTCAGTTCTGAACTACAGCAAAAACTTCCTATCAGTTTAGGTGTAGCACACAGCTGTCATATGTAGGTATCAGCGTAACTATAAATGTGAAAACTTTTTTTTTAACCTTCAGGAAACACTAACTGACTTGAAATTTCAGAGGTACTAGTGAGATTATATTGAGAGTTGTTTCGAGATGCATTCACTGGTAAGTGCAACTGAAAATCCTACTTTGTGACTATAACCACCTTAAAGAGCAATCTACCTCCATACGGGGAAGACCGCTCCTTTAAAGACTGTTGCCAGAAAGTCTCCCTTTTGAAACCTTTTTGATAGTCAGTCCACTTCTCTTCAAAACTATTGAATTTTTAATACCTTGTTTTCTACTATAAATATCCAAGAGAAGGACAATATGCTGTGTTTCTCACACTTATTTAACCACAGACCTCTGATTTAAAGGAAGTCTATTACCTGGCTGGTGTGGCTCAGTGGACTGAGCCCTGGCCTGTGAACCAAAGCATTGCTGGTTCAATTCCCAGTTAGGACACATGCCTGGGTTGCAGGCCAGGTGCCCAGTCGGGGGGTGCACAAGGGGCAATCACACATTCATGTTTCTCTCCCTCTCTTTCTTCCCCCCTTCCTCTCTCTAAAAATAAAATAAACTTAAAAAAGAAAGAAAGACAGGCTATTAAATAGGGAATTACTAAAGAGAGAAGTAGGGTCTTCTTGACCAAGCCTCTGGACCACAAAGACATAATTTCTTCAAAAGGATATCATTAACTACCCTAAATACTGAGTCTGAAAACACACTTGTTTTAAATAGGTATGTTTTTAAACTCCATATACCATTAAAACATTTTTCTTTCTGCAAGAAAAAAGCAGACAAGTAAACTAAATTAATACCCTAGTAAAATCCCAGAGAGTGTTCAGGGCACTGCATCAAGAAAATGAAAAACCCTACACTATTTATCAGTTCCATGAAGGAACTAAAAATGAGTTCTTCAATATATAGCTAAGTTAAGGCAAGTTGCAATTTCTAAGGGGAAACAACGTTCCAGTTCATTGTAGTCTGTTTTAATCTTCCCAAAAGTGTCCGACTTCCCACCACACAGGCAAGAAGCATGCACATATGAATAAGTAAACACTTAACTGAAAAGAGACAACTCAAGCTCGGCTTGCTCCCTCTGTGGATATAACTGACCCAGCAGCACGTGCAAGGTGCACCTCTGAGCACTCCGTCATGGCCAGCCACATTACCACAATGGGGCCATGATGCCCTCAACAATTTTCATTGGTTCTACTGCCTAACTTGTAGTTCCATTTGATTCCCTTTCCAAAGTCTTAACTTCACACAGTAAGATTTATTACCATATAGAAAGAGGTCATAAAATGCCTTTTCCAGCCCCCACCTCTCCCTGGAATTTCAGCCTTTTAAAATAAGATTGGGTCCTGGATATTGCAAGTGCCTCAGGAAAGTATTTTATCTGTCTTTTTACTTGTTTGTGTCCCAAAGCAGATCTAAAGCTCCCTGGGAACAGCTGTCTCTCTCAGTTCCCACTTCCAGCGGCCTGCACAGACGGTGTCAGATACGTAAGGAATGATACTTGGAGGATGGATGAGCAGTAACATTAGGACCTGTAACCTCACCTATATCTTAGTGTGCCTGAATGTCTTCAGGCCTTTTCCTAAGAAATTTGGGGTGGATCATCAGTTACCTAAGAGTTACGAGAGCCGCGAAATGGAGAAGTGAGCCTGGGAAAGGCTGCTCTTCAGCTCTTCCTGGAAATATTGCCCTGCTATGGATCAGGCTAGAGGTGTGGGGCTTCAAGGGAAACCCTAGCCTTTTGTTTGAATGGCATATGAAATGATCTTGCTTCTCCACACTTCAAAAATCTACTTCCATGAGACATTAACAATTGGCAATTGTTTATCGACAGACAGGTAAGATCAAGAAACAGGGACCCTGTTCTTTCAGATTTTTTTTTTATATTTTTATTTATTTATTTTTAGAGAGAGCAAGAGGGAGAGAAACATCAATGTGTGGTTGCCTCTTGTGTGCCCCCTACTGGGGACCTGGCCTGCAACCCAGCATGTGCCCTGACTGGGAATAAAACTGGTGACCCCTTGGTTCTCAGGCCGGCGCTTAGTCCACTGAGTCACACCAGCCAGAGTCAGATTTCTAAGACCAGAATTCCTGGTGTAGTACTCAATCAATTGCTAATGCTTAAATTAACCAAAAACATAAAGAACATTGTATTAGCAGAATGTTATCTAGCCAATGTAATATGATCAATTGTTAAAAACCCAGCTTCTGGAATCAGATAAATCTGAATTTGAATCCTGGCTCCACTGCTTACTTAAAGTCTGCAAACCTGAGTTTCCACATGTGAAAAGACAGATACCAAGTAAAACCTATCCCATGGGGTTGCAGTACGGTTTAAATAGGAATGCATGTAAAGTGCTTAGCAGTGGGCTGGCAAATAGGAAGTTCTCAAGAAATAATGAACCATCATTTGAAAACCTGAGTTCCCATTCTACTACAACCTCCCAGGGTATCCTTGGACTAATCACTATAAAACAGCTACTGAAAACATGGAGACAATTAAGTGCCCTCGAATGCTGAGGGCAGTTATTCTATTATCATGAATAAGATAATAGAAAATGAACCAAAACTTTTAAAAATAAAAGCTCTGGACAGGTCTAGATATTTTTTGCGTTGTACTTAAGCTTGCATACATTCAATCACAGATGACTCTGCATTAGTGGAAAAGCCAAACGTCAAAGCAGTTATTCTCAAATACTTCAGTGCCTTTTATGGATGCTGGACTCTATGAAACACCTGTTGGGGAGGGGAGAGGGGGCACCTCAACATTAAGTGGCCCAATAACCATCTTGTCGCCCTTTTTTCACAGAGAAAGTGCAATCTGTTTTCTTCCTCCTATCTTAAAATGCATCTGTTGTGCATCTGTTACACAGCGTCCAAAAAAAAGGCCAACATTTAATCAAGCTGCTATTACAGAGGGCCATCACAAACGCATAAGGTCCCTCTGCAGAAATTAGATAAAGGCCACCTAGAGCACAGGCTGGTTTTCTGTCTCCACTCATCCTGAAGTGGGCACCTCTGCGCAAGGGCACGGCAGTTACGCGGATAAGCACAAAGATCTTCAATATCTAACTGGCATGCCCATGTAATTGTTTATATGACATACACACACCTCCTCAGACATGACTTAAAGTTATCAAGGAATTAACTGAGTAAATGGAGGAAGATATTCATGAAAACTGAAAATACGGAGTTTCAGAAAGGTCAAGAGAGAAGGTCCCATCCCCCGCCCCTCACTTTCAACTAGCCAATAATGGAATATTGTAGCCAGTAGGAACTTGGTAGGCAGAGGCTTCAACACTGCAAAACTCTGATCCCCAGAAAAGCTATGGTCTTTCTCCAGAGGGAGAGAGGGAGGGAGGGAGGGCGGGAGGGAGGAAGGCCACAGATACCAATGAATAAACTTACCTGAGTTTGCAAAAACAGTAGTATATGAAAGGCTGTTGTCTTGCTGTTTTGATTGCATTAAAAATCTGTAATCCCAGACAAGAATATGCTAAATGCTGAAGGAATTAGTCTTAAAATGGTAACACTGTCAATTCAGCCTCCTTGAGCTTTTCCCTCCCAGATACCTGATACTCATATAGTAAAATATGTGTTTACTATTACATATGCATATACATCCTGCTAAACTTTTTAATGGTAACCTTCCTTACAAAGTAAGTATACGATACATTTTTAGCACTTTTGTACCTAGCCCTGTGACCTCCATAATACAACAGCTTCAAGAGTTATTTATGGAACACAAATTCCAGGGTAAATATGGTACCTTATTTAACACATGCCCAAGGAGATAGGGTACATACAAGAATATTCATTGTGGCATTGTTTATAGTAAGTTTGGAAATAATCTAAATGTCTACTAAAGAGACACTGCAAAAATAAAGTATAATATAGCATATAATGGAAACTATGAATTAATACAAAAAAACTAAGCTACCAGCTCAAATTGAGGTATATGGGTAAATCACAGACATAATACAGTAAAAAAAAAAGCAAACTGCAGAATGATACATGTAATACTATTGATATTTATAAGGTTTTAAAACTCTCAACATTATGTCTGCCTTAGAATTTGTTATAGCAGTCTTACATATTGATTATATGTTCACTAAAGACCCAAGTAACATAATCTTAAAATTAAAGTTAAAAAAAGACTATTATCATATAAAGTTCCCCAGGTGGCAGAGAGGGAGTCTGACTTAGTCATGAAAATCACCTGGCCCATTAAGTCATAAGATGTGTCTTCTATCTCCATTCTGCTACTCACCAAGAAACTTGATTTCACCAAGCGCCAGTTTGCTGACCTAAATGGGGTTGACAACGCCGCCTTGCAGGATAAAGTGAATAATATACGTAAAAGAGTTACAGAGGAGGTCTTGGACTTGTTTTTTACCTTATCAGTCAAGAGATCACATAATAACGCTCTACAACCCCCACTCCCATGTTGCGTTTCACCTTTTTTATTTAGTTTGGTAAATCGTTAAGCAGGACAACAGGATAGGAAAAAGTAACCCCTCACCTTCCCTCTTCTCAATCCCTAATCTGGCTGCCTCCTGTGCTTTCTGTATTTAGCAGAGAGCGACCCCCACCCACAAGAGAAGCGCCCATACATCTAAGCACACAGGGACTCTCCGAGATGCACACACGGGCGTGGACCCACACTTGGCACGCGGAATGCGTTCGTGGGGGGAAGGCACGCCTGTCCCCCGGGGCTGGCTGCAGCGGGCGTTGCGCCTCACCTGTCTTGAAGACCAACTGGTCATCGTCCTTGGACCCGAAGGTATCCAGCATGGACACGAAGAGCACCCCGCAGGCGTTCTGGATGCCAAACACCGACCCGTTGCACCACATGGCCGCCAGCATCACCAGCCAGCCCCAGCCGCCCTCGGGAGGCTGAGGGGGCTCGGCACCCGCCGGCCCCGCCAACTCTACCTCTACATTCTCGGCGGCCGCCTCCGGACCGTCTGAGGGTCCCAGGCCCGTCAGCGGAGCAGCCCCCATGGGCGCGGGGCCGAGCGACTCTGTCTCGCTCGTCCCCTGCGCGGAGCCGGGCTTCGCAGGGGAGGGCACCATGGCCCCGGCGGACCCCGTTGGGCGCCGCGGGAGCGCGAGGCGCGAGAGTTCCCTGCGGGCTTCCAGAGGAGCTGCCCGGAGCCCGGAGGGCGAGCTAGCAAGGCCGGAGCGAGAGCTGTGGAGCCACAGGTAAAGGGCGCCGCAAGGCGCTGGGGCTGCCTGGAGAATAGCGGCTGCGTGGAGAAGCCCCAGGGTCCAAGACTTGAAGCCCCTGTCTACAGGCGCGCAGCCTTACGCGACCCAGTCACTCGGTCTTAAAGACGCCCCTACCCCGTCGGCTGGGGGCGTGGCCATCAGCGGGACGTGCCCAAAGTGTCCAAGCGATTGGGCTTCGGGAGAATGGAGGCGGGGCCCTCCTCCCCCCCCCGCCCCCAGGAGCGCAGATCCAGGTGGGGGGTCACGAAGTGTAGGTCACTCGGCCTCAGTGTTAACGGAAGGGGCGCGTCTTCTAGGTGCAGGCCGAAGGGTCCACAGGGCAATAGGATGGGATCCTTAGTCTCAGCTCACTGACAACCTCACAACCAAACATTGTCTCTTTGTCTTGGGTTTGTTTTTTCTTTTGGCGTTCAGCTCTAATTACTAATTATAACATGTAAGAAACATTTTGCCACCTGCTTACTTAAAAACGGAGTCAGAAGATCAGGCTCCTTATCTAATTAACTTTATTTCTCCTGCATTCATATACAATTTCCTTTGAATTGAAGATGCTCATTTTGGAACACACAGTGTATAATACCAAAATCTTCAAATAAACGGTTTTTACAGATAGCTAGTAAACATCACTGTTGTTAAACTACAGCAAAATTGTTTGCACTTAAAAACCAGCACAGATATGTAACTCTTCTGAATCCCTGAAGCATGGAACAACAATGTAAGAAAAGAAAGGAAGTGTAATTAGCTGTGCAATATTGAGCACCCTTTCAAATTTCTCAGTTTACTCAGATTCATCATTTCAAAGTCAAAATATTCCATAGTTACTTTATGCGCCCACCGCAGTGATGGTGCAAGTACACAGATGAGTATGGCTGATCACATTTCTGCCTGTGCCCGTTCATGAACTAGTAGGAAAAAGTGTTGGGATAGAATAGGAGGCTCAGGTGAGGTGTTTTAATACACATTCAACAAAGGGAAGTGGAATGCAACCATTAAATTATATTTGAAACACTAGAGAAAAGTTTCCACAGCAAGCGGCCTTTTGAGCTGAGCCCTGAATCAAAGAGGAAACTTCAGCGGGCAGAGATGGGGCTAGAGTATTTTTTCCAGGTAGAGAAAACAGTGCAAACTGAGGAAAGCAAGTATAATGCATCCTAGGGATGGGGTTAGAATAATAAACTAAGAATAGTCACGCAAGTGCCCCCTGAAAAGTGAATGTACAAGAATATTATCCCATCATTGTTGGAAGTGAGGAAAAGGGGAAAGCAAAAATGTGCTTCAGTAGAGGACTGATTAAATGCATACTATTAATGTATAACTTCTAAAAGTTATCATGTTCATCTCTATTGACTTTGAAAGTTGTCCACTTTTATTTTATTTTATTTTATTTACTTTTAGAAAGAGGGGAAGGGAGGGAGAAAAAGAGAGAGAGAGATCTATATGAAAGATAACATCAATTGACTGGCTGCCCCCAACCAGGGACCTGGCCTGCAACCCAAGTATATGCTCTGGTCAGCATCAAACTGGTAACCTTTTGGTTCACAGGCCAGTGCTCACTCCACTGAGCCACACCAGCCAGGGCAAAAGTTGTCCACATTTTATTGAGCAAAAAAAGCACATCAGATAAAGTATGGATTGTAACACAAAATATAAAATAAATATCCATGAGTCGATACTGACATAAGTAAATGATTAAGTACATAAATGGGGGGGGGGAGTAGGCAGTGGGAATACTCAGATTTCTCCTGCAGAAAATTTTCAATAATATGACATCTTCAAGGAGGTGAAGTACAACATCTCACTCCTTAAGTGTGGACTGTGCACAGTGTGTTACTTCAAAAAGAAAAGTATGAAAAGGGGGAGAATCCAGGGTAGTCTCTAGGGTATACAAACTGACAAGCACTATTTCAGCCAGGTAATCAAGTATGTATCCCTGATATAATGTGATGAAAATGGCACTTTATCTCTGTGATCTTCCTCCAAAAAAACCCATGACCCCAGTCTAATCATGGGGGCGGGGGGGGGGGGGGAATAAGACAAATTCCAATTGAGGGACATCCCTCAAAATAATTGACCAGTACTCCTCAAAACTGTCAAGGACATCCAAAACAAGCAAAGTCTGAGACACTGTCACAGCCAAGAGGGACAGGAGACATGATGAATACATATAATGTTGGGATGGGATCCTGGAACAGAATAAAAACATTAAATAAAAACCCAGGGGCTCTGGCCAAGTAGCTCAGTTGGTTTGAGCGTCATCCTGATACACCAAAGTTGTGGGTTGTCTTTCCAGTCCGGGCACATACAAGAAGCAACCAATGAATGCATAAATAAATGGAACAATAAATCAGTATTTCTCTTTCTCCCTTCCTCTCTTTCTGAAAGATCAACCAATAAAAAAAGAACCTAAGGAAATCTGAGTAAAATATGGAAATTAGTTCATTATTAATATTGGCTCATTAATACTAACAAATGTGGCAACTAATTTAAGTTGTTAATAATTGGAGAAACTGGATGCAGGGGTATGGGAATGCTGTACTATATCTTTAGAATTTTTCTATAAACTTAAAACTTTAAAAAATAAGTTTATTTCATCTTGTAAAAATGTATATATGCATATAGATATATTAAACATGATAGTTTATGTTTAAACTTTCGTTTTATATGTAAGTGCTACATATATTTGTATGGAGGCTGTGGAATGTTATTTTTAAGTATATAACTCATTCTCAAAATTTTTTTCTACTTGTGTGTCAGTATTATTTCTAAATATAATCTAGTGTACCCTAATTTCGGGTTAAAGTGTGACACTTTTCAGGGAGGATTGCTACAGAAGCAGCTCTGACCTAAAGCACTGACGAGTTAGAACCCACAAAGCACTCCGCTCACAGCAAGCTCTCAGGAAACAGTAACGGTGATTCTCATCACCATTGATAATGTCCATGTTTCCTTCTAGGACTTCTCATGACCACTGTTTTCTTGGGATCAAAGTAATTCAAATGGATGTTTACATCTTTATAAATACAACTTTTATTTAATCACAACTGTACCAGTTCAGGAAATTTTAAAAATAGAAGGATTTAAAGGTAGGATTTTATACATCCTTGTCCTCAGCTATTATGTTATCAATTCCATAAAGAAAAAGTTTTTTATTTTCTACCAGTTGCTCTTTCTCCAACTCACAAAAGGCACCATTTACAAAATCTGATACAGCATCTCTCTGGCCATACTAATTTGATCTGTTTGGCTCAATTACTCCAGGGCAGAGGATTCTCCAGGCTACGGTCTGAGTGGAGGACATACGCGGGCGTTTGGCGATAAAAACAAAGTTCCAGTTCAGCTACACTAGGGGTTGGCTGTGCTTTCATCTGCACTGCTTTCTTTTTTTTTTTTTTTTCAAATTTCTAAGTTAGTAAAAGAAAAGATTTCACGATATGAAATGAAATAATAAAACAAAAGCACTTTGAAAACTATAAAGTGCCTTAAACAATAAAATTAAAGTGTTACTTTAAGTTTCAATGATCCAAGAAAAAGATATCTTGTACTCCAAATTGCATTCCAGACCGAATTCTTATTAAATCAGGCAAGTTGGTGTTTAGCCTTTTAAAAAAAATTTATTATGGTAAAGTGGGCATACATTATAGTAGTTTCAGGTGTACAACATAGTGACTGTATATTTATATACATCGCGATGTGAGCACCACACTTAGTGACCATTATCACTGTGCAAGGTTGTTACAACATTATTGACTATATTCCCCACAATGTACACTGCATCTCTGTGGCCTATTTATTTTATAACCGGGAGTTTGTGCCTCTTATTCCCCTTAACCTTTACATCCATCGCCAACCCCTTCCCTTCTGGCAATCATCAGTCTATTCTTTTTCTATGAATCTGTTTCTGTTTTGTTTGTTTGTTTATTTTATTTTATTTTTTTACATTTCACATACAGGGGAAACCATACAGTATTTGTCTTTCTCTGTCTGCCATTTCACTTAGCACAATACCCTCTAGGTGCATACATGTTGTCACAAATGGCAAGATTTCATTTTTTATGGCTGAGTAATTAATATTCCATTGTATTATGTGTCACATGTTCTTTATCCATTCATCTATTGATGGATACCCAGGTTGATTCTATATCTTGGCTAGTATAAATAACATTGCAATAAACAAAGTAGGAGTATGCATATCTTTTCAAATTAGTGTTTTCATTTTCTTCAGATAAATACCCAGAAGTGGGTTGCTAGATCATATGGTAGTTCTATTTTTATTTTTTTAGGACTCCATACTGTTTTCCATAGTGGATGTACTAATTTAAAGTCCTGCCAACAGTACAAAAGGGTTCTGTTTTCTCCACATCCTTACCAACACTTGTTATTTGTTGATGTTTTGATACTAGCCATCCTGACAGGTATGATGTGGTATCTCATTGTATTGCATTGGCCAAAGAGTCCATATGATTTTTTCCGTAAAATAAAAGGCACATTTTTCATTTTCACCAATAACTTGATTGATTTGGATATTTTGAGTGGGTTGGCTTTCTCTCAATGGTTGAACATTGATTGTTCTCAGTTAGTGTCTCAATTTGATTGCTATCAACTTCAACTGTTCTGCCCAACCACGAAGCACTGTTCAGCAAGAAACCTCCTGCATGAAACTTTGCAAACCACTTCTGACATGTTTGATCAATCACAACACCTTTTCCATACACTGTACAAATCTTTTTTTTTTTGCATTTCAGTTGTGTTTTTACCTTTCTTAAAATAATAAAGCATAATATGCCAAAAATGTGTATTTTTTTCTGCCTTCAATATTAAAATGGCTACACATAAATTCACCAATTTTGTTAAGTTTTTTTTAATGCACACTGATATGACAGCTGCCACAATAAAATATAACAAAATTGTTTCAAATGAAGTTAAAGGCAACTAAGCACTACTAAAGCCATCTTACGGAAAAAAAAACAAATGAACTTTTTGTCCAATCCAGTACCTCTTTGCTAGTTCCCACAAATACAATGGTGCCAACTCTAGCTCCAGATGGTCTTCTGACTGACCCCTACTCCCCATCTAGCTGCTAGTTCCTTAATGATGCCTTATAAT